AGGGAAAACGCCAGGAGAGAAGGAGCGAAGAGGGGGGCGGTTGATTAGAGGCAGAGAGAGAGAGAGAGAAACAAAAAAAGGGAGGTAGAGAAAGAGAGAGAGAGAGGGGAGAGAGAGAGAGAGAGAGAGAAAGAGCGAGGGAGGAGGCAGGAGAGGGGAGGGAGAAGGGAGGAGGGAGAGGAAGGAGGGGGGACAGGGCAGAGAGGCATAAGGATGAGGGATGAGAGGAGGGAGAGAGAAGGGAGGAGAGGAGGGAGGAGGGAGAAGGGAGAGGGAGGAGGAGCAAAAAGGTAAGAGCGTGAACGTTCGAGGAAGTCCTAGGCGAAAGCGCCGTTACTGAAGGAGGTCTCGGGCGGGAGCCCACGACGGGCGGGTGATCCCTTGACGGGCAGGTCGGGCGGGTGGGACATTCAAGCGGGATGCCGGAGTATGGCGAGAGCGCGATTACTAAGTAAATTGTAACGGCGTCCTTGGCGCAGCGTCTTTCCTGAGCGTCGAAAGCGTGACTTCTGAATAAATTGCATGGAGGTCACAGGCGAGAGCGCAATTCCTGAATAAAATGTAAAGGGTTCTCCGGCGGGAACGGGGGTCTTGATTAAATTGCGAAGAAATCTTGATTCAATTGCGAGGAAACTCTCAAGCGGGAGCGCATCTCCCTTGTAAACTGTGAGGCGGTCTCAGATGGGAGCGGGGGTCCTGACTAAATTGCGAGGAGTCACAGGCGGGAGCACCGATCCTGAGTAAATTGTGAGGAAGTCTCAGGAGCCGCGGTCCTGAGTAAATTTAAAAGAAATCTCAGGCGGGAGTCGTTGCTGTTGTAATCCAGGGGGCCAGGGGCACAGTTTGAGCACCAAGACTTTTCTATGTCAAAAAATAAGATGCGAGCGTCGAGAGGCACATTTTGATTGAGAAAAACAATATGCCCGGGTGAAGGGGGATCATCTAGAATTATTCTCCAGAAATGAGAATTGAACAACAATCCTTTTAAGACTGTTCGTTCTTACTGGCACGCGTGTCTTGCATTCCGTATACCCCAACCCTCCATACCCGCCCACTTCATCTTCGATGGCACCCCCTTTCGGGGAGGAATCTCTTCCTTGTCGGCCACTGACTGAAGTGCGAGGAACTCTCGAGCGAGAGCGCCGTTCCTGCGTTCGGGGGCCTCTCTGGCCAGGGGCTCTCTACGTATGGGAAAGTATCGAACGGGAACCCTTGTCGCCGTGTCCGGGCCTCCACCGACTTGCCTGGATCACGAGAAAGTCTTGAGCGAGAGCGCCGTTCCGGAGTTCGGGGACCTTCTTGGCCAGGGGCTTCGGAGTAAATCGTGAGGAAGTATCGAGCAGAAGCCCTTGTCGTCGTGGCTGGGCCTCCGCCAACTTGATTGAATTGCGAGGAAGTCTCGAGCGCGAGTGCCGTTCCTGAGTTCGGGGGCCTCTCTGGCCAGGGTGTCTCGGGTTAAATTGTGAGGAAGTATCGAGCGGGAGCCGTTGTCGACGCAGCTGGGCCTCCAAGGGCCCACATTTAGGCTAAAGCCAACGCTCGAGCGGGAGCCTCGCTTTCAAAGAAAATGCAGCCGGCGTCGATGCGAGAGCGCGCGGAACCGCTTCCGGAAATCCAAAAGAATTATTCTCCAGAAATGAATGTTTAACAGCCAAACCCGATCTCTGGTGACGGTACCCAGGCTCGTTGTTTGTGAGCTCGACCTCTCTCCCAGACCGTCAAGACCGAGTCGGGGGAAAGCTGGCACTGAGGCGGTGGCAGGCAAGGCGCTTGTCCCTCAACAGCGCGCCTTGCATGCGCTGCGCTACACAAGGAAAAGCCTCAGAAAGCACTCCGAACTCAACGGACAAAAACATACGCACGGTGCTAGCACGAGCATCTTGACACCAAAAAATACAATCTGGGCATGCAATGCTGGCACGAACGTCAGCCGGCCAGCAGCAACGGCATGTGCTGTCCAGCGGTGGGGAGGAATACTGCACTACGTGTGCATCTATGGCAGCGCAAGATTCCACGACCCATGGCAGTCCGCACCGCGTGACTCCGGGTGGATGAACTCGATTAATCCTAAGTTCAACGTCACCGCCATGGCATGAGTGGGCACCCGTGAGGTAGCCATAAAATCTGGACAAACGACATTTCTCCGGGGCACCTCTGCATTCCGTATACCCCAACCCTCCATACCCGCCCACTTCGTCTTCGATGGCACCCCCTTTCGGGGAGGAATCTCTTCCTTGTCGGCCACTGACTGAAGTGCGAGGAACTCTCGAGCGAGAGCGCCGTTCCTGCGTTCGGGGGCCTCTCTGGCCAGGGGCTCTCTACGTATGGGAAAGTATCGAACGGGAACCCTTGTCGCCGTGTCCGGGCCTCCACCGACTTGCCTGGATCACGAGAAAGTCTTGAGCGAGAGCGCCGTTCCGGAGTTCGGGGACCTTCTTGGCCAGGGGCTTCGGAGTAAATCGTGAGGAAGTATCGAGCAGAAGCCCTTGTCGTCGTGGCTGGGCCTCCGCCAACTTGATTGAATTGCGAGGAAGTCTCGAGCGCGAGTGCCGTTCCTGAGTTCGGGGGCCTCTCTGGCCAGGGTGTCTCGGGTTAAATTGTGAGGAAGTATCGAGCGGGAGCCGTTGTCGACGCAGCTGGGCCTCCAAGGGCCCACATTTAGGCTAAAGCCAACGCTCGAGCGGGAGCCTCGCTTTCAAAGAAAATGCAGCCGGCGTCGATGCGAGAGCGCGCGGAACCGCTTCCGGAAATCCAAAAGAATTATTCTCCAGAAATGAATGTTTAACAGCCAAACCGGATCTCTGGTGACGGTACCCAGGCTCGTTGTTTGTGAGCTCGACCTCTCTCCCAGACCGTCAAGACCGAGTCGGGGGAAAGCTGGCACTGAGGCGGTGGCAGGCAAGGCGCTTGTCCCTCAACAGCGCGCCTTGCATGCGCTGCGCTACACAAGGAAAAGCCTCAGAAAGCACTCCGAACTCAACGGACAAAAACATACGCACGGTGCTAGCACGAGCATCTTGACACCAAAAAATACAATCTGGGCATGCAATGCTGGCACGAACGTCAGCCGGCCAGCAGCAACGGCATGTGCTGTCCAGCGGTGGGGAGGAATACTGCACTACGTGTGCATCTATGGCAGCGCAAGATTCCACGACCCATGGCAGTCCGCACCGCGTGACTCCGGGTGGATGAACTCGATTAATCCTAAGTTCAACGTCACCGCCATGGCATGAGTGGGCACCCGTGAGGTAGCCATAAAATCTGGACAAACGACATTTCTCCGGGGCACCTCTGCATTCCGTATACCCCAACCCTCCATACCCGCCCACTTCGTCTTCGATGGCACCCCCTTTCGGGGAGGAATCTCTTCCTTGTCGGCCACTGACTGAAGTGCGAGGAACTCTCGAGCGAGAGCGCCGTTCCTGCGTTCGGGGGCCTCTCTGGCCAGGGGCTCTCTACGTATGGGAAAGTATCGAACGGGAACCCTTGTCGCCGTGTCCGGGCCTCCACCGACTTGCCTGGATCACGAGAAAGTCTTGAGCGAGAGCGCCGTTCCGAAGTTCGGGGACCTTCTTGGCCAGGGGCTTCGGAGTAAATCGTGAGGAAGTATCGAGCAGAAGCCCTTGTCGTCGTGGCTGGGCCTCCGCCAACTTGATTGAATTGCGAGGAAGTCTCGAGCGCGAGTGCCGTTCCTGAGTTCGGGGGCCTCTCTGGCCAGGGTGTCTCGGGTTAAATTGTGAGGAAGTATCGAGCGGGAGCCGTTGTCGACGCAGCTGGGCCTCCAAGGGCCCACATTTAGGCTAAAGCCAACGCTCGAGCGGGAGCCTCGCTTTCAAAGAAAATGCAGCCGGCGTCGATGCGAGAGCGCGCGGAACCGCTTCCGGAAATCCAAAAGAATTATTCTCCAGAAATGAATGTTTAACAGCCAAACCGGATCTCTGGTGACGGTACCCAGGCTCGTTGTTTGTGAGCTCGACCTCTCTCCCAGACCGTCAAGACCGAGTCGGGGGAAAGCTGGCACTGAGGCGGTGGCAGGCAAGGCGCTTGTCCCTCAACAGCGCGCCTTGCATGCGCTGCGCTACACAAGGAAAAGCCTCAGAAAGCACTCCGAACTCAACGGACAAAAACATACGCACGGTGCTAGCACGAGCATCTTGACACCAAAAAAAACAATCTGGGCATGCAATGCTGGCACGAACGTCAGCCGGCCAGCAGCAACGGCATGTGCTGTCCAGCGGTGGGGAGGAATACTGCACTACGTGTGCATCTATGGCAGCGCAAGATTCCACGACCCATGGCAGTCCGCACCGCGTGACTCCGGGTGGATGAACTCGATTAATCCTAAGTTCAACGTCACCGCCATGGCATGAGTGGGCACCCGTGAGGTAGCCATAAAATCTGGACAAACGACATTTCTCCGGGGCACCTGGGCTCCCCTGGAGAAGCAGAAAAAGAGTGGCAACTCGTGGGACAATTGAGCTGATGTAAAAATTCAACGACTCCTCTGGACATGAAACGGATAAGACAGAATCACTACGACAAGGGCAGTGATCAAGTCGTAGACGAGGCCTACCACATTAGAGGAATTGTTCCACCCAGGTGCAAGCTGGGGCATGACCAGCAGGCGTTGGCGCAGAAGCAGCTCTAGTTACTTGACCAGAAAGAAGGCTACATCTGACAAAACGGCATGTATGCGATCCACCCTTAGACCTAACAGCACGAGTCATCACCACTTCTGGAACAAATGAGCTGTGGGAAAGTTTGGCGACTCTTCCGGGCCTAGCCTGGATGAGACAGAGCCGCCTGCCTAAGGGCTATCCCAGGGCAGTGATAAAGTCTCTCGCTTGGCACACCGTCTGAGAGATGTTGATAACCCGATTGCAAGCTGGCGGATAACCAGCATGCGTTGGCGCAGGAAAAGCTCCTAATTGTGGTTATTCCGCCAGAAGGCTGCAATCTGCGAAGGTGCGAAGGGAAATGAGCGCGACTCGCCACTAGGCCTAAGAGCTGCTAGACGAAGCTGCTCCCAGCCCGGGTTGCCGGCAACGGCGGTGAGCACGCGTTATCAGGCGCCGGTGGACAAACCCAGCGACACAACGTCGTCCGAGTCGCCCAGCTCGCTGAAACTCGAAGAGCACTCGCTCTCGCCGACCGACTCCAGCATGGCGGACTCGAACGGAGCCAGCGTGCTCTGCGTGTCGATCATGGCAGGGCCCTTCTTCGCATCAAATGCAGCGTTGAAGTAAGGATGCCCCAAGGCGCCACTTGCACTGCAGCGCTGGCTCGGCTCGCGCTGCAAAAGGTCCCTGCAGAAGCTCGTGCCGTCGCTGCCCCGAATCCGATGCGCAGTCGTCAAATACCTCGGCTCAGGTACTCCCGCCCGGATGGCTGCCTTCGCGGCGTTCGAGGTGGTCTCCTGCGGTATGTAAGGAAGTTCTCCGAACAGCATGAAATATGCCATCACGCCATCCGCTATCGTGCCTTCGGCATGTTGGGGCGTGTCCAACATGCATCCCACCTCAACGATGCCCCCCGGCTAGTCGACCTCGAGATGGTTCTCCCGAACCTCTTCGAGTCATCGCGCCCAGGACGGACCCAAGATCTCCAACGGACCCCAGGAGGCCCTCAAGGAAGCCCCCAAGAGGGGCCCGAGCAGGCCCTGAGAGGTCTCAAATAAGCTAACGATAACTACGCCTGCGCCACGCGACGACATCGCACCGATTCTCCTCTAAGGGCGACAGGACGATGGCTCGACCGAGCCTGTTCGGTAAAGATCGGTAGAGCCGTCCTGCATGCACCCTAACGGTGTGCTGGCACAGCCGCAGGCAGCTGGATAAGACCAGACGTCCGTGCCGATGCCATGCCGCGCCGCCAGCATCTCGGGGGACATGAAAGGCGCGGTGCCGAACTCTCCCACCAGGGATTGGCCAGGAGACAGCAGGGCAGAGAGGTTGAAGTCGCACAGCTTCACCGTGCTCCCATCCAGGCCGATCAAGTAGTTGTCCGGCTTGACGTCACGGTGAACCACCGAGGCTCGGTGGCAGGCCTCCAGGCCAAGGAGCATCTGGTGCAGGAGGTGCGGGAGTCCAGACTGCAGAAGCTCCGGGTTGGAGTCGGCCTTCTCCCAGACCGTGCACTCGCACCTCTCCATGACCATGAAGACGACGCGGCTATCACAGAACACCCTGCGCAGCTCCGCCACGCTGGGGTGTCTTCCTACCGCGCGCCACACCTTGACCTCCTGCATGGCGAGCTCCCGCTTCCAGTCCTGGCCTTCGCCCGAGTCGACGACCTTCACGGCGTCCATTCTCTGGGAGCTCCTCTCGCGGGCGGACATGACGATCCCGAACGATCCCTGGGGAAGGAGGGAGGGGGGAGGAGCAGGAGGTGGAAGAGGAGGAGGAGGATGTGTGCAGGAGTAACAGCGTACCCAAGTGTTTCGAGCGTCCTCAGCCAGCGTCGGGCCAGGACGACGTCGCCGCGGGGACGGACGATGAGGAGGAGTGGCCGTGGGAGCTCTCCCCTCCGCTGTGGATTACATTATACCGTGCTATCTGTGGCTTTGGGTTGCTGGGCAGCCTCCTCCTCCTCCTTCCAGAGACTGGCTCGGATAGATGCAAGAGGGGAAGGGAGGAGGCGGGGAGGGGAGGGGAGGACGACGGCGGCGGCCGGGAGAAGGAGGGCCTTGCCAAGCGCACCGCCCAGCTCGTACTCCGAGGCGAACTTCTCCCCGGCGCCGAGGGCAGGCTTGGCGGCGGCGCCGGGCTGCAGGTCGTCCGGGAGAGGGACGACCCTCCTCCTGCTGCGCCCCTTCCCCAGGGGCCCCGCCTGGCTGGCACCCGAGGCGACGGGCGGCGCGCCCCCCGTCGCCCGCCTGCCGAACGCCCCGACGAAGCCGCTCCACACCATCGCCCGCCTGCTGAGCGCCCGGACGAGGCCACCTGCAGAGATCCCGACTCGCTGCGCGTGCAACCAGAGGAAGGCTCGAGCCGAAGCGGCTGCAGAAGTGGGGAGGCCAGGATACTGCATGCTGAGATTGCACCCGGGAGAGCGTTTGGCATGAATAGGGGAACAAAAAGTGACATAAACATGAAAACTCGGAGGTCCGCGCGGATTTCTCGCATCGGCGCTGGGGCCCCCCGGCGGCGCCTCCGGCGCCGCCCCTGGCGCGCTCCGCGCGTCAGGGAGGGGGTCCAGCGCCGATCCGAGAAATCCGCGCGGACCTCCGAGTTTTTTATTAATGTCACTTTCCTCCTCCTCCTCCTCCTCCTCCTCCTCCTCCTCCTCCTCCTCCTCCTCCTCCTCCTCCTCCTCCTCCTCCTCCTCCTCCTCCTCCCTCCTCCTCCTCCTCCTCCTCCTCCTCCTCCTCAACGCCATGGGTTGAGAAAGGAGGTCGTTGGCGCGAGCAGCACGGTGCTCCACCTCGACGGAATCTCCCGCGCGGCTGTGGCGCATGGCGGAAGACCACTTCCCCGAGGCGTGCTGGTAACCCCTGACACCAGCTCACCCGGCTCGGCCTCCTCCTCCTTCTCCTCCTCCTCCTCCTCCTTCTTCTCCTCCTCCTCCTCCTCTTCCTCCTCCTCCTCATCCTCCTCCTCCTCCTCTTCCTCCTCCTCCTCCTCCTCCTCCTCCCAATCACGTCACCTCGAGCATGACTGGGTGAACCACGACCGACTGTCCACCAGCATGCCCCACCACAACAGCAAGGCCGTGGACGCCCATCCAAAAAACGTAGGTCGGGCACTGAGAAGCAACAGAAATAAGATGAATGATTTCCATCTGCAGTATCAGATGGCAAGTAACTCTGACCCCTGCGCCCCCGCCCCCTTCCCCCTCAGGACGAGACTACAGAAAGCTCAGCAATCCCGAGTGGTTGATCACGAGACACTTGCCGCCCGACAGAACGCCCTCTCCCGAACACGCCGCGCTTGAGGAAAGCACATCTCGCATGAAAATGATGATACCGAAGCTCGTTTATGTGAATTCAACCCCTCTCCCAGGCCGTCAAGAACGAATCCAAGGAGAGCTAGCATTCCTGAGGGGTGGCACGCGAGACGCTTGCCCCTCCAAGTGGGGCTTTGAGAACAGAACGCGCTGGGTGTGTTGCCAAAAAAACTCAGGAAGCACCCGAATTCAAGAGTCCAAAATGAAGTACACGGTGGCAGCACGGACGCGAGCCGCCAGAAACTCCCACATTGATGGGAAGGAATACTGCACTACGCATGCATCCAAGGCACCGTAAAGGTTCCACGACCTATGGCAGTCCGCACCGCGTGACTCCGGGTGGGTGTACTCGATTAATCCCAAGTTCCACGGGACCGCCATGGCATGAGGGGGCACCGGTGAGGTAGCCATAAAAGTCAGGACAGGCGTCATTCCTCCGGGGCACCTGGGCTCCCCTGGAGAGGCAGAATAGAATAGACAGCGTTTGGACAAAATAAGCAGTCGAAAAGGTGGGCAAAGGCAATATGCGAAAGGTCACCTCGGCGAAAGGCAACCTGAAAAGATGGGCAAAAGGCGAAAGCCAGCAAATTGCGGTGGAACAAATTAAACAGGGCCACCTGCCAAAACGGCACTTCCAGGCAAGTTTCAGAGCCGCTCGCGTGGCGTACCATCTGAAAGGATTTGTTTCACCTGATTGCAAGCTGGCGCATGAACAGCATGCGCTGGCGCAGGAGCAGCTCTTCAGGGTGGCTATTCCGCAGGAAAGCTGGCAACAGCGGTGAGCACGCGTCACCAGGCGCTGGTGGACAAGCCCCGCGCCTCGCTTTCCTCAGAGTCGCCCAGCTCGCTGAATCTCGGAGCGCACTCGCTCTCGACATCATACGACTCCAGCATGGCGGACTCGAACGGAGCCAGCGTGCTCTGCGTGTCGATCATGGCAGGGCCCTTCTTCGCATCAAACATAGCGTTGAAGTAAGGATGCCCCAAGGCGCCAGTTGCACTGCAGCGCTGGGTCGGCTCGCGCTGCAGAAGGTCCCTGCAGAAGCTCGTGCCGTCGCTGCCCCGAATCCGATGCGCAGTCGTCAAATACCTCGGCTCGGGTACTCCCGCCCGGGTGGCCGCCATCGCCGCCTTCGGGGTGACCTCCTGCGGTATGTAGGGAAGCTCTCCGAACAGCATGAAATACACCATCACGCCATCCGCCACCGTGCCCTCGGCACGCTGCGGCGTGCCCTCCCTGGCACACGTCTCGGCCGCCAGACGGGCCCCAGGACAGCCTCAGTCAGCACCAAGACGTCTGCAAGACGTCTCGAGACGACAGCCGAACGATCCCCTATTTGGACGCCCGAAATGGGTACGGAAAGAATGGGTACAATGCCCAACAACGAACGTTGTCCCAAACCAAAAGCGGCCGCTGTTGGGCAGGCGGCCTTCTGCCTCGAACGGACACGGGTCGCGGCGGCGCGGACAGCGAGCCCTGCTCAAAAGGAACAGGAGCTGCTATTGGGCATTGTACCCCTTCTTTCCGTACCCATGAACGCTTCGCCACTGCTCGATCCCCCCAGGAGGGGGAAGGAGGAGGAGGAGGAGGAGGAGGAGGAGGAGGAGGAGGAGGAGCGGGAGGGGGAGGGGGAGGAGGGGGAGGAGGAGGAGGAGGAGGAGGAGGAGGAGGAGGAGAGAAGGAGGGGGAGGAGGGGGAGGAGGAGGAGGAGGAGGAGGAGGAGGAGGAGGAGGAGGAGGAGGAGGAGGAGGAGGAGGCGTCCAGAAACGTGCGTCCCACCTCAGCGACGCCCCCTCGGCCAGACGGCCTCGCGACGGCTCCACCGAGCGTCCTCGGGGTGAGCGCTCGGCAGCGTGGCCGCGCCCGGGACGGGCCCAAGACCTCCAACGGACCGCGAGAGAGGCTCGCAAAAGAAGCCTCCGAGAAGGCCCGGGAAGGCTCCGAGGGGCCCCCAAAAAAAGTCCCCAGGAAGTCTCCCAAAGTACAGTCGGGGCGTTGACCTAAGGAACCCGAAATAAGGAACGAGGCCTCTTTTCTCCCTAAGTTAAACTTCGATTCTCCATCGAAATCCTGAGGACAACCGAAGGCAAGCTGCGAAACAATGAAGGAACACGGAGCCCCTCCACAACGAAAAGGGTTCCTTCTTCAGCGCACCGACTGTATCCCCCAAGAGGCAACGCGACGACCATGCAACGATACGCCTGCGCCACGCGACGGCATCGCACCGATTCTCCCCCGAGGGCGACAGGGCGATGGCTCCACCGAGCCTGTTCGGTAAAGATCGGTAGAGCCGTCCTGCATGCACCCTAACGGTGCGCTGGCACAGCCGCAGGCAGCTGGATAAGACCAGACGTCCGTGCCGATGCCATGCCGCGCCGCCAGCATCTCGGGGGACATGAAAGGCGCGGTGCCGAACTCTCCCACCAGGGATTGGCCGGGAGACAGCAGGGCAGAGAGGTTGAAGTCGCACAGCTTCACCGTGCTCCCATCCAGGCCGATCAAGTAGTTGTCCGGCTTGACGGGGGGGGACTTGTTGATAAAGCGGTACCCGATCTCGGAGTTCCGCCTCGACATCTCCCCGTCGGTCAGCTCAAGGCTGCAGGCAGGGAGTCGTACATGGCGCGGTCCAGGAATATCGTATGATAGTCCGTATCCGCTTCAGTACTCGCATCTCCGTCACATGGTGTGTTCATGATGCTCTTTGTATGCCTGCTGTCAAGCCCCTGGCGCCGATGAGAACACCCTGGTCGACGACATGATATGTTGAGAGAGAAGTTCTTCTTCATTGAGAAAAATATGTGTCGAGAACTCGATCTCCAGTTCTGCTGATTGGTCTCCTCAATCCAGTTCGCATGTGCTGAATGCCTGTACGTTGAAAGTTGCTGCCAGTCTCTCAATGTCATATCTCCTAAGACGTTGGGTCGCCCTGGACACGTCTTTGATGCGTGATGCCAAGAAATCGTAACGTCGTCCTCCTTGTCTTGAGTCCGTGCCAGGTTGATTGTGAGCCTACATCTCGCACACAATAAGGTCGTAGAACTCGCTGAATTGAATGGGGTCAAGAATAGATGCGTATCCGTATCCATCCGAGCTTCAATATTGTGGAACAATCTCTTCTCTTCCTTTCGCTTGTGAAAATTTGGCAGTCGTGCAAGGAGTTGTCGATCAGCGTCGGAAAAGGAATCTGCGTGAGTCGTTCGTAATGTGTTATGGAAAAGACGTGTCCTATTCTGAGTCCGTGCTGTTCTCATAGCCGAAGATCCGTCTTGTGCTGGAGGATGTTGCTTGCCTCGTAATCGTCGATGTCGGTCCCTCCGTAGGTCTCCTTTCCACACCGGCGTCACTTGACTTGCGGGAAACATAATCTGTGCCCATGGAGTGGTTGTCGGCTTCTTCATCTGCTCCACGGCTATGTTGAAAAAGAAAGAATTCACAGCGTCAGGCTGGAGCAGTCGAAGGCGTCCGTGAAATCCTGTCGATATTTTTAATCCAAGTGGATACAGCTGGCGGCATTCCTTGACTAGTTGGAATACACTCTGGCTGGCTCTCTCACCCTTGTGATATGACTTTTGCTTACCAAGACCGAACCTCGATAGTAGGTTGGAGCTGGCCGCTGTGAACATTTTGGCCGCTGTCCCGATTGATGGAGTTGACGACTGAGTTCGCCATCCCATGTATTCACCCGTCGCTAGAGTGAAGTCAACAACTGCCATGATTGAACTTGTTTGGTCGATCGCCATGGTTGATTGATCTGGTATCTCTGGCGGCTCTGTGTCTATGTATGTAGATGACCAGTACCAAAATAAAGCTGGCACGTTTGATAGTTTCCACTGCCAATCGTTCTTCGTGAATGTCACTTCTGATATTGTTCGACCTCTCAACCAGGGTGTACGCTCCACTGTAGGACGTTGTTCCCATATCACGTGAGGAAAGACCTCCTCCTTCGTGGCTGTCATAGTTGGGGCTCTTACTGGTGTTGAGGTTGTCGATGGGGTCGTCTGCTGTGTCGAAGCTGACGGTGGAGTGGTCGAGGACGTAGCTGGCGTTGTTGTGCTTGCCGCTCGGGTCTTTCTTGTCAGTCTGCGTGGAGTTGCTAATACCGTTTGTACTGGATGTGGGGTGGGAGGAGCTGGCGGTTCGGGATCCCCTTCTGCGTCATCCATTCCACCTCCCCACGGATCTTCTTCCTGTATGTCCCAAGTCTGTTGTTCTTCTTGGTCTTGATGGTCGAGCTGCTCGTGGACCTCTTGGTAGTACCTGTTGAGTTGTTCTCCACGTGGCTTGCGCCCGAAGAGAAGTAGTGCCTCGGCTGCTCGTGCTTGTATGACGTCGAGAAGCATAGTTTGTACGTCTTGCTCTCTTTTGATCCGTGCTTTGTGAGCGTCGAGAAACTCGCCGTCGACAGCTCTGAGTCTTGCTGCCGTGGTGGCTCGCTTGTCGGCCTCCTCGTTCTTGAGTCGGAGGCGCTTGTCTGCTTCAGATTCAGCTTCTTTTTGCTCCTTGGTTTGATGGCTTTGAATCTTCCGTGTCCTGAAGTTGTCGTGACCTTTGGCCTCAATTGCTGCCTGCAGTCGGGTCCATAGATCCCTGTGGGACTTGAAGTTCGTCTTCTGCTGGTTGATGATCTTGAGCAGCCCACGGCATACGTAGCTCGAGTCGGTCAGGTAGATGCTCCGCGTCCAGTTCCACAGAGCCCACCTCAAGGCGCTCCGAAGTTCTGCACGTTGGGCGTTGTGTATTACTCCTTCCAGTCCAAGTGTGCTGTTGTGGCTGTGTCGATCTCCATAAAAGAGACCGCAGCCCGCGCGCCTGAGCCTAAAGTCTGCCTGGCCAGGGACTGCGCCGTCACCGGCAACGATGGCGTATCCCTCACTGTCTACTGAGAGCTCGTCTTGACTGTCCAGGTCTGGTGGTCGAGCTTCGTGAAGTTCATGTGATTGTGGTGTGGCTATCTCCGCAAAGAAACCGTCGACGCGAGGATCGTCGAGGACCAGACCTGCAATCTTCGTAGCTTCAGGGAGTGCGTCGAAGTCGTAGTTTGGATACTTCTCATATAGCCACTGCCTGTTCTTGTCAAAGTGAGTACACTTCCATAAAACATGAAGTAGAGTTTCTTCTTCTTTCCAGCAAAAGGGGCATAGGTTCGATGAACAATATCCTGCCGCGTGCAGGCGAGATGACGTGATCAAGCCTCCACTCCATAGAATACGTGCTGCTGCTCTCCTCTTTGCTGTCCATTTGTATTGAGTGATCTCAGTTGTGCCATTGATGTCACTCGATGCTCCTTGTCTTCGACGACGCTGTCGTCGATATTGAGATACTGTGGCCTCGTAGTCGATGGATTTCTCCAGCACTCCATTGAATTCATATCGAAAATGATGACCTGTCTTCGTTTTGACGTAGTATCCAGCTCGCCAGACGTGTCTACGCAGATCTTGTCGTATGATGTGTCTCCATAGTAGATCATCCCCTGCGAACAAAGATATGAAGCCACCTGAAGATCTCTCAATATTCAGTTGTCCATCAATCTTCCATTTGAGATCTGAACATATTTGAAGAAGAACCGAAGCAGGTCCATGTGATATGGCTTGTTGATCACCTCGTTCGTGGTACTGCTGGAGTACTTCGATCAAGCGCTGCCTCAGTCTCACCCTTTTCTGCATCAACCTACGGATAGTGATCAGTGCCCAGTAGCGACTGGCCTGCCATGGATCTAATAGATGCCCATGGCATGCCAAAGTAAAAGTTGAGACTCGAGAACGATACATAACCTTGCCGTTCATCAAGATACGATGTAGTTTTGCTCCAAGGTGCTGACATGTTGTGCTATTGGGTAACTGCAGTTCTGATCCGTAGAATCCAGCTGAGCTCCCATATACTGTCATACATTTTTCTCGCCATTCAAAGGAACCTGGGCCTCGCTCCACACGTTCGAGGATGTGATGTAGTTTTGCATGGCGTTTTTGTAGTAGTCGTTGTCGTTCAGCTTGTGATCCTGTCGTGCCGTCGCTTAGGATACCGCCCACTAGGATGATGGCCTTCGTGAATGTGGCTCCCTGATTGCTGAAAATGACATTGAGTTTCTTGCGTAAGGATATGGAGTTTGCCAATATCTTCGTCTTCTTAGCGTTCAGAGAGCAACCTGCCACTTCTCCGAACTCTTTTGAAACCTCCCAGGCCGTAGTGATAGAGCGGACCACATCATTGATGTCCGCCGATGTCTTCAGAATGCTGCTGTCGTCAATGAAGCCCTGGGTGTCGCATGATGATTTTGCCATCACTGACTTTGTCCAGACTGCCATCAAAGATAGTGCAACTGCTATGCTATAAGAAGGGCCCTCGAAATAGCCGGCCTTTCTTTGTGTACTCTCTTTTTCGACACTTCTTCCGAGTTTGAATCTGTATCGTGCTTCGTGTACCAATCTACGTTCTGCATTGAAGTAGTTGTGTGCCTCGTCCGTGGTCTCCTCGTGGCCCATGTGCTCAGTGATCAGCTTGTTACCGATGTTGCGGTGGATCGTGGAGAAGAACTTTGACCAGTCGATCGATAGGCACGCTCCGTACGTACCCATTAGTTGTGCAGATTCCATCTCCAAGGCGTGGAACACAGATACCTCCTGGGCCTCGTGCGTGGGTCTCGCCCCGTGCATAGCTTCGGGCATCCAGCTCTCTCTCCAAGGTGTGGTATCTATCCATCTCACATGCTGCCAAGCAGCAATCAATGGCGAAAAGTTTGATATAATCCTGGTCTGTGATGCCGCAGGTAGTACAAGGTACTCAGGATTGTCATCATCTGCTTCTGGGGGAGTCTGCTTCCTCAATGCGCTGCAGTATACCTGGGTCAGGATACTTGGCCAAGCAGCTCCGTTCTCTATGTATGTGAACATCTCTGTGTAGAGTGCAGTGATGCGAAGAGGTAACGCTTGCAGCTCGCACACACGGAATCCGCATCCCGCTGTAGCTCTTGCAACATTCAAATGTCTTAGAGCTGAGTGGAATGCTCGAGGACATAGTGTGCCGATCTTGCAAGGCCGTTTGTCAATGTAAGAGCCGAAGATATTGAAGAACTTGTGCCAGTCTCTATCCTCGGCGTCGTCGAATATAGGCTGCCAAACTTTGCGGAGCTCGTGGAGTACGTCTTCAGGTATGACGGCATACTCTTTGTCTCCGCACTTGACTGCTGATTCTCTGGCATTCTCCCCTGGGCGTAGATCTAAAGCGAGTGCTGTGATCGGCTCATCTCGAGGAGGTCTCATATGATTCTTTAGTGTTCGTCGATCTGTAGCTGAGGCTGATCCCGTCATGGCCGCTGACATTTTGGCCCTCCATATTTTGATTCGTGTTCTGACTGCCACATCCTCGTATTTCGTGATCTGTGCCTGGATCCGAGGGATGAGAGCTTCAACTTCTGATAATGTGATCCAAGGTTTGTCGAACAACGTGTCCGTGATGCCGATCTTCTGAATGTCGTGGACTGTCGTTCGCCATAGCTTGATCATCTCCGTACGTTGACATAGAGAATGTTGATCTGTCCTCTTGTGTTTCTTGGCGAGTTCATGTACCCGGCGTAGTGCTTTGTGTAGCGAGGCAGCCTTCTGGGTCCAAGGGTCTGATGCACACGAGCGCGTTGATGCAGGACATGCCAGTGGTTCTTCGTGGAGGCGAACCGTGGTACATCTTCCGCTTGCTCCATTGTCCGATGATGTCCCTTTGCATCTTTCTGTAAGGTACTTCTCCGCTAGGGTCGTGGCTGTAGTCATCATGAGCTCAGCGTCTTTGTTGTTCCGAGCTTGCGTGATCTCAGCCTGATGTGTGTTGAATAACTCGTTGAGATACGTCTCCTCCGTGTCATCGTCAAGTGGTGGAGCTCGATCTAACGGGAAGGCCTTCGGTACTTGGATTGTCCATCGTGATTGTGACGAAGCTCTAGTGGAAATTTCGATCCTAATCGGCAAATGGCTGGGTAGCTTAGCATCTCTGATGACCTCATACTTGGTGATCATCTGTGCAGCAGCTCTGTTAGCAATGATCCGATCAGGACGAGTAATGTATTTCCCATGGCTTTCCCGATCCCACTTGTCGAAGTCCTTCCCGCAGTATGTCGGGGCAGGGGGTCCTCCGATAGCAAATCGGGCGCCAATGTCTATGTATACTCCTGTTGCGATCGCGTCCTGGAGGACAACCGATCTGTCAGAGACGTTGGTGTCGGCACAGATGATGACTGGCTGCTCTCCACAGCTTATTCCATCTTCCAAGACTTTGTCAAGATGCCGTTCCTTGCGTAGCGTGGCTGCTGGACCGTGATCTGCGTCATTGTAAAACGAGACCAGGTGGAGGAAGTGTGTTGATGCCGTGCTCGTCCCTGCGTATACAGGAAGGACCACTCGCACATGTCGTGATAGTTCGTATACCTGCTTGGCTGCCGTCGTTCTCGCAGTACACGGTTGTAAGTTGTAGGAAGGTCGTCCCATGATGGCAACCCCACCGTGGATGGCTGTACATTCCATGGTCGGAGATGTCTTGGGACGAAGCTGCTTTACTGGTAGTGGCTTGCCTCCGATGAAGGACATGCCTTTTGTCTTTGCCAAACTCTCCGCACGTTCCGTAGCCAAGGCTGTGAGCCTCGTCTCCTGGACCACATAGAGATCAGCAGGGAGTGAAAATAAGGAAGTAATATTCTTTTTCCAAGAAGTAATGTTGGCCGAGATCAGGACCAGCTTGTCCCTCTCGATCGTAGCCTTACCTCTTGAGTTAAGCTGCGCCATTGCGAGTCGGACTGCGGCTTCTCCCGTCGTTGCGACGTCGTAGGGCGGCCAGCTCAGCTGATAGTTGTGCCTTCAACGTGCGCACTTCGTCCAAGGCTGCTTTGAGTTCTGCGTTGCGTGCGTCCATTCTCTCATCGACAGCTTGTTGAAAGGCAGGGACAGGTTGAGCTACTTCCTGTGGTGGAGTGTCAGACGGTACTTGTCTCCTCATGGGGGCTGTGTAGTACGATCCATTTCTTTGTTCCAGCACTGAGAAGGCAAACTGTTTCATCACCGATGTCGCTGCCGTGTGCTTTTTATTCATGATGACTGATGCGGCCTTGTCTTTGCTCATCACCGTTTTCTTCGAATCCTTCAGAAAGACTGAGTTGGGATCCTCATCGACCTCCATGACCTGAGACTTGTCCGTCATCTTTGTGATAGTGACCATGTGTGTTCCCATCAAGAATGTGTCTCCTGGTGGAGGTACATGGGCCTTAACCGTTATTCGCAGATATTTCCCTCTCCGTTGTGCTGATGGATATTGCACGACCCAGGACATGGTCTCCAGAAGTATTTTTGGAATAGCCTCTGTCGGTGTCCCAACGGGTATCTTGTCGAGGAGATATCTTTCTGTTGGCGGGGCGTCCTCTTTCCTGATGAGCTGCCACCCTGCGGTTGTGTCTTCTTTCCGTATTCTCAATTTGATAGTCACCCCATCCCGGCATAATTTCATTCCGTATGTGGGCTCTGATATTTTGTCCAGTTCCTCGTGGGCTTCCTGCGTCGTCCAGTGTCCTGTCTGCTTCGCCCGTAGTGGGATCCAGGTCTCCGTTGTGCGCTCACGAGTCTTCCCAATCTCATCGTACCCTGCCGTGTCAAAGAAGATCCCGTCAGTACCTGATGATTGTCGAAGAATGCGTGCCATTGAGGTTGTGGTCGTCACGTCGATGCGTAACGTAGCCTGTCCTTTGGCAGCTCCGTCGCATTGCTTGATGGAGTTGATCGTGATGTCCAGGTCTGTTGCTGTAGCTGCCGAGTAGACCTTCGTGATGTGCGCTTGGAGGAAGTCCTTCGCCTCCTGTTTAGCAGCTCGTACCAATTTCCAATTGTGTTTCTTAGCCTCAGCGTCTAAGTCATTGCCATGGTTTCTCAATTTGTCCAAAGACGAAGAGCCAATCTTGTGCTGCTTGAGAAGAGTCTTGTAGATCTCATCTGCATGTATTTCTGATATCACTGCGATCGAGTTGGTGAACCCTTTGGACCATGCTGGAGCTGCAGGAGTCACAGCTCGGTACTTTGGTGGTTCCACAGGGTCGTTGCTTAGAGTAGGCGGAATGCTCCATAGATAGCCGTCTCGAGTTCCCACAATTGACTTGGTTGTCCCGTCGTTGTTCGTGGTCTCCTTTGTCACTGGTAGCTGGTATGGCACAGGCTTGATGTTGTAAGCAATGGCCGCAGCTTTCAGGCATTCAGAAGGAGTTGAAACCGATAGAGCCACGTAATTGGGAAAATCCGTGTTGTTCTTGTCGATCCATTCCATTATATTGATAACATCTGCGTCGGACTTTGCGAGGTAGATCCCGTTCGACTCCGATGTTGGTGGTTCGTCTAAGACTGGGATTTCCCACATGTTCCGTAGTCTGAGGCCGCTCTCGTGAAGTCTCTCATTCGGGGGTGGCTTGTCCCCGTTGTGTGTTGTTGAGATCTTCTTCTTTTTGGGACGCTTGGTCGATGGTTGGCCGTCCTCTCCTCGTGGGGGTTTGTCCTGTGACCATTCATTGAGTTTGGCTTTGATCTCGGCCTTCTTCGTGTCGAAGTCTGTCGAGAAGAGTTTGTAAATCATGCTGAATTGTTTGGAGTCGCTTGCCAACTGCTTCTTTTGTTTGTCCGTGAGTGTCGTTGCAGTAGCTGCGCACATGATATTGACCGTCCGAGTGTTGGCAGTGATCCGAGCGGCTGATCCAGTCTTCGGTGCGAAACCAGACCTGCGTGCTGGAGGAGTGTTGCCATGCTCGGCGTGGTATTGAGACTGGGCGTCCTGCTGCGTCTGGTGAGATCTGGCATTCTTGACTTTGCGGAACCATGAGATCCGAGCCATCGTCCATGAGATGCAGAGGGAGCCGTCTTTGGCGAAATTGGGAGTGATGGGCCTCAGCGCGACATCTTTCTCCCAGGCATTTGTAGCCTCCAGGTTAGCACCTGTCCAGTCAGAGAGATCCACAGGCCGTGGCTGCCCTTGGTTCTCCCTTATATTTGAGTCGTGTTGCCCGTTGTCGGTAGGAGTGGGAGGGATGCACTCGTCGGATGGAGTTGTGACATTCTTCTCCCAAGCTGCAGTAATCTCCAGGTTAACACCTGTCCAGTAAGGAGGAGACATGAGCTGTGGCTGCCCTTGTCTCTCCCTCATGGTGCAGTTGTTGTCCTCGTCGTTCGTGTGGTCGTTCGTCTTCTGGATCCCACTGATGTCCATCATGTGAGTCGCGATGCCTTGCTCTGTTTGGTAATCTGATCTTCCAAAACTTGAATCGATCCGATTCACTGTCGTACTGAAATAGCTGCACATCGTGTCATTGATAAGCGCCCTCTCAAAATTGCCAACCTCACTTAAGAAGTTGCCCCTGTCAAAATCTGAACCTGCACACGGTATCTCTGAGATACTGTCTGTGTAGTCAAGGTTCACCATCATCTTGATACCCATTGTCGTGATGACGTAGTGAATGATCATCCCGAACGTGAAGTCGTCGTCAAAATTGCCAACCTCCGTGTCGAGGTTGCCCCTGTCAAAATCTGAACCAACCCACGGTATCTCAGAGAGACAGTTCGTGTAGTTGAAGTTCGAAATCATCATGATACCCATTGTCATGATACTCGAAGCGATGCACTTGATGCCCCACATCAAGAAGAATATGGCTGTCAGTAAAAACACTGAACATGTCACCCACCAAGGAACTGATGTGCAGGAAGGTTCACGCTTCTCCCCTGTGGCTGTCTCGCTGGAGATGCCGTCGTTGCCGGCCTCGGGCTTCGTCTTGATGGTCATGACGTCGCTCAACGAGGATATGTCATTGCATTGATCGATCCTATTCGTCTCCCCCATCACCGTGAACATGATAAGGTCGTCTACCTCCGCCGTGCTCTTGAAGATCGTCGAGGACTGCCCGATGATCTCGAGCAGGGGCTGGATGTTGCTGGCCACCACCACGTGGTTCAGCTGGAGGCAGTTGTCCGGCTTGACGTCACGGTGAACCACCGAGGCTCGGTGGCAGGCCTCCAGGCCAAGGAGCATCTGGTGCAGGAGGTGCGGGAGTCCAGACTGCAGAAGCTCCGGGTTGGAGTCGGCCTTCTCTGAGACCGTGCACTCGCACCTCTCCATGACCATGAAAACGACGCGGCTATCACAGAACACCCTGCGCAGCTCCGCCACGCTGGGGTGTCTTCCCACGGCGCGCCACACCTTGACCTCCTGCATGGCGAGCTCCCGCTTCCTGTCCTGGCCTTCTCTGGAGTCAATGATCTTCACGGCGTCCAAGCTCTGGGAGCTCCTCTCGCGGGCGGACATGACGATCCCGAACGATCCCTGGGGCAGGAGGGGAAAGGGGAGGAGCAGGAGGTGGAAGAGGAGGAGGATGTGTGCAGGAGTAACAGTGGGCTTAACAATGCCAAGCGCCTTCGGCCAGCTTCAGGCCAGAACGACACCACCAAGGAGTCGGACGAGGAGGAGTGGCCGTGGGAGCTCGCCCATCTGTTGCGAATGATGCTGTCTTGTGCTTGCTATGGCTGTCGATTGTTGGGCCGAGTGGCGGTGACGCTCTGCCTACAGGGCCGAGTTGACGTTTTCCGAACGAGATTGGTCAGTGAAAGTCGCCAAGGATGGGCCAAAGGGGCAAGGATGCAAGGGTACCCTTCGGAAGGTTGGCAATCCTTATGAAGCGGGCTGACTGTACCAGAGACTGATGGCGATAGATGAAATAAGGGAGGGGCAGTGGAGGGGAAGGTGCGACGACGACGACGACGACGGCCATGAGAAGGAGGGCCGGCCTTGCCAAGCGTGTTGCCAAGCTCGTACTCCGAAGCGAATTGCTCTCTGGCGCTGAGAGCAGGCTTGGCGGCAGCGCTTGGCTGCAGGTCGTCAGGTAGAGGAACGATACTCGACCGGCGCGGTGGGACCACGAGCCCCTTACTGGCAGCGCCCGTGAGAGGAATGACCCTCTTCTTGCCACGCCCCTGTCCCTGAGACCTCGGCTGGCTGGCGTCCAAGGCGACGGACTGTGCGCACCCCATCGCCCGCTCGCTGAACGCCCTGACGAGGCCGCTCGCACAAATCCAAGATGCTGCAAAATGATCCTGCCGAGCTCAGCCTGTAACCAAAAACGCTCGAGCCAAAACGGCTGTATGAAATGAAAAAAAAAAAATACGACATAGCCTCGTAACGAATCAAGCGAGGAAAGCTGCAAAAGCTGGGAGTAAGGAACCAATGCGAACATTGAAGATGGGACGGATTTGGAATGGTCGACGCAGGTAGCAAAATGCACCGCCCGGTCTGCAAATATAATTCAGGACGTTCAGGACGACCACGATCTGAAACAAGCATAATGCGACGATAACAGGTATCAGAAGGGGAACAACACACACAGACACGATTAATCGTCGACTCCCAGGAATAGATGGGAAAACATGTGAAGTGGGGGGAAGACGAAAACCTAGAAAAAACATAAAATATAGGGAATCCTGGGAGTTGTGTGTGTGTGTGTCCCTGGGCCCCTTCAAAGTAAGGCGCCTGAAATGCAAATTTCCCCCTGGCAGTGTTTAGATATATAGAGATATAGATAGATATATATATATATAGAAAGAGATAGATAGATAGATAGATAGATAGATATAGATAGATAGATAGATAGATAGATAGATAGATAGATAGATAGATAGATATATAGATAGATAGATAGATAGATATAGAGAGAGGTATATAGATATATAGAGAGAGACAGATAGATAGATAGATATATGTATAAATGAACAAGGCCCAGGCTGACATAAGGCAGGGCACAATGAGCGGCTCTAAAGCGGAGATGGATGCAGAATCAAACACACCAAATTCTATGGTTGTTGCTGCCGCCAATGCTTAAGGGGATGCACGGCCTCCTGGCTTCGGCGTTGCCCGTGCCCCGGCTGTGGCCCTCGCGTGCGGCGTTGTTTTCTGTACTGCGCTCGGGAATTAGTAGGCGGCGGCCCCTTCGGGCCAGGACCCCCCCCCGCCTCTCCTCCTTTCCACCTCCTCCTCCTCGTCCTCCGTTTCCTCCGTTTCCTCCTCCTCCTCCTCCTCCTCCTCCTCCTCCTCCTCCTCCTCTTCCTCCTCCTCCCTCCTCCTCCGCCTCATCCTCATCCTCCTCCTCCTCCTCTCCTCCGCCTCCTCTTCCTCCTCCTCTTCCTCCTCTTCCTCCTCCTCTCCTCCTCCTCCTCCTCCTCCTCCTCCTCTTCCTCCTCCTCTCCTCTTCTCCTCCTCCTCCTCCTCCTCCTCTTCCTCCTCCTTTCCTACTCCTCCTCCTCCTCCTCCTCTCCTCCTCCTCTTCCTCCTCCTCCTCCTCCTCCTCCTCCTCCTCCTCATGCCGAAGGCTGCCGCAGCCCCGGGGGTGAATGTTGGCCAGGACGCATGGGGCGCTGGTAGGTGTGTGCGCCGCATGGCGCACGCCCGACGAGCACCTGTCCAACGCCCCAGGGGTTGGCAACTGGGGCGACACCAGCATACGAGGTCCCTGATACCTCGGTCTCAACAGCGGTCGGCAGCAAGGTTGTCTTTCGCACCGTTGGGCCGTCGCGTGGTATCTTGACTTCGAGGCAACTACCTCGATGGGTACCCAGAGGTCGCTTAATATGGAGCTCGCATTGGTGGTCGGAACACGGATGTAACACGGATGTATCCACCTCGCGATCCCGTTTAGAAGGCAGTTTCGAGGTGTCCGCCTCGAGGCATTCATTCGAGGGTGCTCCCTCTGGGTGCTTCACCGCGAAGCCGCCAATGTCCCATGACTGCTTCATCTTCCGGCGGCAAGTCTGCCGCCGATTTCCGGCGGCCAGGCCCTCAGTCCTGCACATTTTCGCGCATCCTCTCATTTCCCTCTCCCCCCTCCCTCTTCCGCCGCCCCCTGGCGGCAAGGCCGGGTTGAATGCATCGTCAGATTCTGCACGCACGCCACTGTCGCGAGGCAGCTGCCTCAAGGACGCACCCGGCGGCAAGGCCGGTAGTCCTGCACACCCATACGTGTCCCCCTCACCCCCCCTCCTCCCCCTCCATCTTCCGCCACTCCCTGGCGGCAAGACCGGGCTTCGTGCATCCTCAGATCCTGCACGCTGGCCCGTGTCGCGAAGCAGTTGCCTCAAGGACGCACCTGGAAGCAAGGCCGATAGTCCTGCACACTCTTACGTGTCCCCCTCACCCCCCCTCCTCCCCCTCCACATTCCGCCGCTCCCTGGCGGCAAGACCGTGCGTCGTGCATCCTCAGATCCTGCACGCTGGCCCGTGTCGCGAGGCAATTGCCTCAAGGACGCACCCGGCGACAAGGCTGGTAGTCCTGCACATTTTCGCGCATTTCCTCATCCCCCTCCCCCCCCTCCCTGTTTCGCCGCCCTCTGGCGGCAAGGCCGGGTTGCGTGCATCTTGAGATTCCGCACCTTGCCCCAGTCGCGAGGCAGTTGCCTCAAGGACGCACCCGGCGGCAAGGCTGGTAGTCATGTTCGCCCCAGTCACGAGGCAGTCGCCTCAAGGACGCACCCGGCGGCAAGGCCGGTAGTCCTGCTCGCCCCCGTTACGAGGCAGTTGCCTCCAGGACGCTCCCGGCGGCAAGGCGGGTAAGCCCGCACACTCTTACATCGTCCCCCCATCCCATTTCTCCCCCTCCATCATCCGACGCTCCCTAGCGGTAAGGCCGGGTTGCGTGCATCGTCAGATTCTGCACGCACGCCACTGTCGCGAGGCAGTCGACTCAAGGACGCACCCGGCGGCAGGGCCGGTAATCCCGCCCATCCCCCCCACTCCCCGTCCATTTTCCGCCACTCCCTGGCGGCAAGGCTGGGCTTCGTGCATCCTCAGATCCTGCACGCTGGCCCCCGTCGCGAGGCAGCTGCATCTAAGACGCGCCCGGCGAAAAGGCTGGTAGTCCTGCACACTCTTACGTGTCCCCCCATTATCCCCCCTCCTCATCCCCCTCCTCATTCCGCCGCTCCCTGGCGGCAAGACCTGGATTCGTGCATCCTCAGATGCTGCGCGATTGCCTCCGTCGCACAGGGCAGCTGCCCTTAAGGACGCACCCGGCGACACGGCGGGTAGTCCTGCACACACATGCGCCTCACCTCATCTCCCTTTAACCCTCTATCTTCCGCCAGTCCCTGGCGTCTCTGCCTTCTCCCTTCCTCTCCGATTCCTCCTCCTTCGTCCCTCCCCGCCCCCCTTCTACCCCATCCAGCGCCCGCTGCTCCCTGGCGGCAGATGCCCTGGGCCCTCCCTCGGGGGCCTAGTCCGAGCCAGAACCCCAGGGCGCGCGTCGAGCCTAATCGCGGGCATGTCTCAGGGGGCTCGATCCGAGCCCGCATCCGGTGTGTGCCCCAATGAAAGTCTGCGCTCGAGATCCACTCCACATGACCTCTAAAAGTGGGCCTCGCAGCAGAGGCAAAACTGGGCAGACTCGAATACGGCCTAATAGTTTTGTCGATCCTGCTGCCCAGCACCTTGAGATCCTGTCGCAATTCTCAGCGTCTACGGGACGGCATCATCGGGGAACCGCCTTTCGTCTATCTGTCTGCACAGGCGCGAGTTTGGCACGTTATTGACTCGCCTCTGTCTGCACACTCCTGTGTTTTTCCCCACATGCTTCGTGGGGTTATGGTTTTCTTCCCTGCCGCGCCGCACCCGCGACACACCTCACTCTTCGTACAGCACAGCTCAGCACAGCACAGCACATCACAGCACAGCACAGCACAGCACAGCTCAGCTCAGCACAGCACACAGCTCAGCTCAGCTCAGCACACAGCACAGCTCAGCACAGCTCAGCACAGCCCAGCACGGCTCAGCTCAGCACAGCACAGCACAGCTCGTGGCACTTTCTCGACACCACAAGGGTGCGCAGGGGTTGGTCTCTCAGCTCGGCCGCTATCCACGACACTGGCGCAAAGCCTAGCAGGCGTGGCACTCTCTCGACACCAAAGGGGGTGGGCAGGGGGTGGTCTCTCAGCTCGGCCGCTATCCACGACACTGGCGCAAAGCCTAGCAGGCGTGGCACTTTCTCGACACCACAGGGGGTGCGCAGGGGGTGGTCTCTCAGCTCGGCCGCTATCCACGACACTGGCGCAAAGCCTAGCAGGCGTGGCACTTTCTCGACACCACAGGGGGTGCGCAGGGGGTGGTCTCTCAGCTCGGCCGCTATCCACGACACTGGCGCAAAGCCTAGCAGGCGTGGCACTTTCTCGACACCAAAGGGGGTGGGCAGGGGGTGGTCTCTCAGCTCGGCCGCTATCCACGACACTGGCGCAAAGCCTAGCAGGCGTGGCACTTTCTCGACACCACAGGGGGTGCGCAGGGGGTGGTCTCTCAGCTCGGCCGCTATCCACGACACTGGCGCAAAGGCTAGCAGGCGTGGCACTTTCTCGACACCACAGGGGGTGCGCAGGGGGTGGTCTCTCAGCTCGGCCGCTATCCACGACACTGGCGCAAAGCCTAGCAGGCGTGGCACTTTCTCGACACCACAGGGGGTGCGCAGGGGGTGGTCTCTCAGCTCGGCCGCTATCCACGACACTGGCGCAAAGCCTAGCAGGCGTGGCACTTTCGCGACACCACAGGGGGTGCGCAGGGGGTGGTCTCTCAGCTCGGCCGCTATCCACGACACTGGCGCAAAGCCTAGCAGGCGTGGCACTTTCTCGACACCACACGGGGTGCGCAGGGGGTGGTCTCTCAGCTCGGCCGCTATCCACGACACTGGCGCAAACCTAGCAAGCGTGGCACTTTCTCGACACCACAGGGGGTGCGCAGGGGGTGGTCTCTCAGCTCGGTCGCTATCCACGACACTGGCGCAAAGCCTAGCAGGCGTGGCACTTTCTCGACACCACAGGGGGTGCGCAGGGGGTGGTCTCTCAGCTCGGCCGCTATCCACGACACTGGCGCAAAGCCTAGCAGGCGTGGCACTTTCTCGACACCACAGGGGGTGCGCAGGGGGTGGTCTCTCAGCTCGGCCGCTATCCACGACACTGGCGCAAAGCCTAGCAGGCGTGGCACTTTCTCGACACCACAGGGG